GTGACCGTACACGTGGCTAGGTTCCCACGAGGCCCTAGAGCGGGCAAGTGCCTCCCGGATAGAGGAGACCAGGTCAAACTGGGCTTGTTGCGGTGTGACTCGATTGGCACCAAAGGTGTTGAGCAACGCCAAAAATCCATCGCACGCAATCCTATCGCGGGGTGGTGATCGAAGTGTTGGGGCCCACTGATCCAGGAGCCAATCAACAACCATGATACCGGCCAGTAGGCCACTTAATTCACTCCGGTACGCGCTCTGGTCCTCAGTGAGACCTGGAGTCTGGCACCAAACAATAATACGTTCCGTGCCACCCTTACGTGGAAGCAGTTGAACCGCTGCCGTGCCCAGACCGAGCTTATAAGAACCGTCGCTGATCACACACAGCCGGTCTCTGAGTAGGGCTGCAGCAAGGAGGCTTTTGTCGCCATTGATCTCAATTTCTTCAGGGGTCCAGCCAACATACTCGGTCACCCTGGCTGAGGCGGCCATCCAGGCGGCTAGCAAGGACGGTTTAGAGTCGCGATGCGGCTGCCGCGGTGCTGTCCCAATGCCGGTGAGGGCTAGAGTGCCTAGCAAAGGCGTAATGTGGACGGTAGCTTGGCACAAGTCAGCTGGGAGTGGTTGGGTCCAAAAGGGGGCTGGCAAGAAGCTGACGCCGTTGTCGGTATGCTCATTATGTGGTCATTTGCACCCGGACAATTGCGTAGAACGGGGATAGTCCCATTGAATGCTCCGTGTGGAGGAGCGACGGTGACGGTAGTGTTGCCACCCGTGACCCTGGCAGTGGAACAATCCGTGGGTAGCAGACCATAACCAGTTCCAGTTGTCGAGAGGATCGATCCATGGGCCCAGAGGATGACGCAGTAGGCGCTGGGGTCCGTCAGAGGCAAGTAGTGTGACAGAATATAATTATTCTTGGGTGAACGCTCGAGATTACACTAGAAGATAAGATATAAATTCAAGGTAAACAAAACACAACGCGATGAGTCGATCGGGAATTGACGAACAGTTGATGCGCTTGGTGCACAAAGTTCCAACTGTTCTCATCCGACGACACGTCATCATATCTATTTTACTATTAATTACTATAAGACCCATAAGACTGCTAACGTACAAATTGTATTGGTCCGAGTCATGAAACCCGTTCTTGATACAATTCTGTCACCCCCCAAATGGGTGAGTGAGTGAGGACCTAATCCTCCTCAGCTGTGTCATCTACTCAGAAAAGTAGTGTATGTAGCTGCGGCCACTTTGTTGATATCGTTTAGTAAGGATATTGGCCTGGTGTTTAGCATCTTCTGTGTATAGAAAGGGGAGCATATTGGATGCAATAGCTTCTCTTACACGGTGTAACAACAGTACAACATGTTGGTTGTCTGCTTTTGTATTAGGTGTTGGTGAGCTGTTGGCAACAGTCTCAGTAGCCTTGGGTCCATCAATATGAGGCAAAGAAAACCTTTGTAGGTGAAAAACTTTGTTCATATGATGTAATGGCAACAAGGTATGCCATGTGTGTAGTTGGTACAATGTTGTCTTGTACTGTTTAGTTATATGCCAAGGCAAGTCATCAAGGAGTGGCTCATTGCCTTCAAGCAGTGGTTGCAGACCAGTTGTCTGCTCCCCATGAATCTGAGCAACAATACGGTCAGAATCCATTTGGTCTTCAGTTGAAGTGGTCAATTGCTTCATGTAGAAAGCGTTGGTAGATAGACAAGTTGCTAAGTGGATATATTTTACCATTTCATTCTTAGCTAGTAGTCTTCGTTCAAATTGCTTCCGTCCAATTGACAAAGTTCTCCAGTCATCAATGTATGTCCAATAGAGGAAGTCTCTCACTGTCAATGTACAGTGACAAAGATCTATACCATTGGTTGTAGTTGTAGTGAGTCCATATGTGATTGTATCGTCACTTGAGCTCATTGTAGTTGTGCCATCAAAGTGAAGACTTCGGTTAGCTCTGCTACAAGCACATTGGTGGTATAGGCCTGGAGACCGCTCAATGATACTATCATTGTAGCTTGGCGATTCAGTGCCATGGCATGGGCTGCATCTATGCTTCCCAGCAAGTAGTAAGCTGCAGATTTGCCGGGCCCTGGTTTGGTGACTAGCACTAGATGAAGATACAAAGTTGGATGGCACCAATACTGTAATATCTATAGTAGTTATCATAGCTAGTTGAGTTGAGTCTTCCAAGTAGTGTTCCAAGTTCTTTTGGATGACTAGCTTGGGCAACCATGCAAAGTAGCTGCGAAGGCGCTCCCAGTCGCGTTCACGAGACTTCACAGCCGAGCTTGGGTTCTTCAGTTCAACCTCAGTTGGTTGTAACCCATGCTCAAAACTGTTGCAAGGTGGTGGACCATTTCTCCCATCAGGCTTTCGAGTATCATCATCAAAGCGCGCCTCTTGGGCTGAGGATTGCTGGTGAGATTGATACAACACCAGCTCAAAGCGCGCCTCTTGAGTTGAGGGTTGCTTGTGAGACTGATAGATCTCAAGCTCTGGCGGTGCAACTTGAGTTGCACTGGTGCGATCCAGGTTGATAGGATCTTCCGTGCTACGTTCAAGTCTAGCTAGTTCAGAAGTTGGTGGACGATGGACATCATGGAGTCCATCTATTGGATTCGCATAGGCAAAGGATTGAAAGAAGTCGATTGCACTATCTAAAGTAGAATGTCCATTCATAGTAGTAAAGGGTAAGGCTCTATTACAATTATGACTGTCTACTTGGTTGAAGGCCGGCTTGGCTTCTCCAGTTCCAATAGCCGTTGAGTCCAATCCATTTTGGTCATGATCAGTACAATGCTTAGGAATGAGCGTGGCATTTGGAATGTTAGCGATGCTCAATCCACGATTGATCAGATCAAAGTCGAGTGGCTCAAGGAAGTCAAGAGTACAGTCTAGAGTGTCTTCAAGGATGTCAAGAGTACAAACTAAAATAGATTCGTTAGTGACTATCTCATCTATTGTTTGGTCGGACTCTCTATCTGACTTGTTTCCACCATGTCCAGGAGAAAGAGCACTAGTAGCATCATCTCTCCCCATGCTCGTGTCCGGAAACTGTTGAAGCAAGTTATCTTCCAGTACAAAGTGAGTAAAGAAAGCAACAGCGTCCTCTAGAGTAGACTTCTTTATATTAGCTAGGGTTTGACTGTTACTCTCGCGGGCAGTCAGAGTATCATCGAAATGTACTCTTGGCGATGGAGGACAACCCAGCTCCCCATGAGGTGTCTTCCTAGCCTTATGGCGTGGGCTGCACCTCAGAATCGGTTTGTCTGAATCGAGTCTGAGGTCCTTGAAAGAATTGGCATCCAAAGGAGCTGACTCGATATTGTAGTTGACTGGTTGTCCTGGGTCAAACAGTACTGAAGGACGCTTACAAGCCTCATAGACCTCGAAACACTCAGGGATGGGTGAATCTTCTGGTGCTGCATCGAGGCCAAATAGATCAGCCATGTTACAGTCAAACCAGGTAAGGTCTTCAGATGTTCGATGGCACTGCTCGTACAGTCCATCAGTTGGAAGAACACAATTGAAATTCTCAAAATAATCAATAGTTCCATCTAGTTTAGGTTCCTTGAAAGAAGTAAGAGCTTTATGATTCTTAAGGACTCCTACAAGATCAAACGGACGTTCTTCATCTTCAGAATTGTAGTCGGGAACGGACTTTGCCCATTCTTCCATATCCTTGATCAAATGATCCAGTACACTTGGATGCCAATCAGCGTCAGAGGTGAGTACGACATGTGGAATGTCAGGACTACTCAGCTCACCATCTTTTGGTGGTCGCATTTGTAGGTATGGAAGGCCATTCCTGATGTCAAGTGGTAAGACGAAGCCATCTGGTGTTGTCAAGCGTTGCTGACCACCAGCTTTGGTAGACTTGTCGTCCACGACAATCTTGAAGTGTTCCATTTGACCACTGGACAGAATGGATTGACCCTTTCCAATGTAGGCTTGTTGGTGTATGATGGCATTGGCAGGTCCACGTTGGGTGTAGATTAATCCAGCCGAAGTGAGGATAGGGATATCAGTTACTTGGTGGTTGTCAATGCTTTGTACGTCAACAGTACGATTGGATTTGTGGATGATGCGGACATCATCTCCAGCAATGCCGCCATTGGCACCTCTATCAATCAAAGCTAGGTGTTTACAAGTGTTGACTTTCTGGATAGAATAGGTCATAGTATGGTTATTAACCGATCTATATTTTTCTCCATTGAATGTTAACTCGTGTTGCTTGGCTTCTTGTGGAGGTGTAGGCGGAGGACGCTTGGTAGTCGGTACGACAGCCAACTTATCAGACATGACACACTGTTGCTCCCCATTCTCCAAATCCATTGAGTACTCCTCAGTCCTATCTTGTTCAGGAAGAAGAGCATCAGAATCACTCCCCATGCTCGCTTCCGGCAACTGAAGGAGCAAGTCGTGGCTAGTGCTGTTGGCAGAGACACTACGGCCAAGATCGCCAATGTTTGGGTCCGATAAAGTTTGGTCCCAGTCAATGTTGGAGACAAGTGTGGCATTATCAATGCCATTGTCATTCAGGTCCATAGCAGTGGTGAAATCATCTGGTTGGTCAAGAGTCTCATCTTCAGAGGCTTCATTCAGAGTTAAAATAGTTTTACTACTCTTTAGGATGCCTACTCTATCAAATGGTCTCTCACCTTTCCCCGGTTTGTCCAGCCTGTCAATGTTGGGATCCAATAGAGTTTGGTCCCATTCAAGGTTGGGGTCGAATCTGACATCATGTGCAATGTAACCCTTGTTCAGTGTCGGTCTACTCATGGTGCTTTGTGCGCCAACAAGTTGTGTGGCACGTCTACCATTGGGTATATTGACACTGTCAGACATGCAAATGCTAGGTTGTAGAGCAGCAGAAAGGATAGATGTAGGACTAGTAGTGTCACTATACTGATTACTGGTCATGTCTACTGTAGCTTGGCGGTCTGATTCGTCGCTCATTGGCCATTGTAGCTCCCCATGTTTGGGTGCGGTGGCTAGATGGCTGTCTGGCTTTGTCTCCATCTGTGTTGGAAGGAGAGGATCAGGGGACGAGTCAATAGGTTTGCCATGATCAGGCTTCGATACAAGAGGTTGCGGTAAAGAAGAGTTATTAAAAACTATAAAATCACCACTACATTGATAATTTACGAATGCTTGGACGTCGATGTGCATGCAATTGATCGGGGTGATTGGATTGCGATGGACGTTTTGACGAAGATAAGCATACCCAAGTAAGGCCCGAAGAGTACCACAATGGGGCCGCTCAAGCTGGGTAAGCTGAGTTTGGCCAGTATCCACCCCGTATTGGTCGATGACGGGTGCATCATACTTCAATGCAAGGAGCTCATTCTCGTTGTAGGAGAGGAGGTGCATGAAGTGCAAGCATCCATCGCGACGAAGAGCACGCATGAGTGGGCTGTCTAGGGGCTCTCGAAAGAGGGTTGTGACAGCAAACTCAAGGCTTGCAAGGGTACGACCAGGTGGCGCGGTAGCATTGGCGGGCGTACCGGCAGTATTGCCAACAGTTGAAGTAGCAGGGCTGACAGGTTGGTTGGCAGCACCGGCAGGAGGAGCGGGTGTAGAGTTCATACCGCTCCAAGTAGTTGGTATTTCTGGTTTGTTGTTGTGGGGTGGAAAAGTAGGGGAAGAGTCCTCTCACGAGAGCGAAGACTCTAGGGACGATGCCTGTCCCAAAACTTCTTAGGTGCAAAGGTCGGTCGAGTAAATCCCTAACAAAAAGGGCTCGAGGAATTGACGTTCTGTACTAGTGGATACCCTACGGTCACACTAGTCCCAAGGATTGCTGGCAGGCTTTCCTGGTTTTCTTGAACGTCTTGCAGGTCAGAACAGAAGCGAAGGTCCCAACGAATTGGAACAAGGCGTGGTCTCTTTTCTATAGACTTTTAAACTCCCTTGACCTTCTTAAATCCGTTTCCGCCGTATTCAACAATCAGCAAAATGACCGACCGAAGTTGGTCGATTGCAGATGTGAATACGGAGACTTGTCTTCTGAGTCTGTAAGAGACTGGCTGCAGAAGACTACAAGAGGCTGAAAAAAACCCTCGACCTTTACGGGTATAGGCGTCCCGGTGCTCCAACGATCAACAAGTGCCCGGTCGAAAACTGGCTGGTTGTCAAGTGGAAAAAGGAAAAGCAGCACGCCGAAAGTCGTTGTGCACGCAACGACGATCAACTCCGGGGGTGCTGGGAAGGACTGCGGGAAGTTGTACTCACGAATGTACAAAATCCAGAACAAGTTTCAGTCGATTTAAAATAAAACCGATCTGTGTGCCGCTGTCTGTTATTAGGGACGAGAACCACCTCGTTTAATTGCAGTACAGCCGGGCAATGAACCTCACGAGCTGTCTTTGTGGTGGATTTCTCAACACCGGAAGCAAAAGACGACAAGTGGGGGAAGCACGGGTTCGGCGGATGCCCAGCGCTTAACTCCCTTCGGCTTCCAATAGGGCTGGAACACCGAAATATAGAACCACCGAAATAAAATAGGAACCAATACCCTTTTGTGCCGTTGGGTCTTCGCGTAGTCGTCAACAGTGATGGTTATGGTGATCCAAATAAAGGCATCAAAGTTGACTTGGTACTTGCGCACCAAAGATTTGCCAGTGTTGGTCTGCAATTTGTGGAGGAAGATGGTGTACATGAAGGCCTGCTGTTTCTGGAAGAGGTCCCGTTCGTCCACGGATTTGGGCACATAGGAGTGGTCCAAGACATTCAGTGTGTCATGGACGCGTGCGGTGGAACGAAAGGTTCGATGGAAGCTGTCCCACTCTTCATCAGTGTTGAGAGTCGGGTATGCGTCGGGATCGAGTTTCAAGCTCTTCTGGAACGAATCAGCGGGTGTACGACGATCAGGCTTAGATACAAGAGGTTGCGGTAAAGAAGAGTTATTAAAAACTATAAAATCACCACTACATTGATAATTTAGGAATGCTTGGACGTCGATGTGCATGCAATTGATCGGGGTGATTGGATCGCGATGGACGTTTTGACAAAGATAAGCATACCCAAGTAAGGCCCGAAGAGTACCACGATGGGGCCGCTCAAGCTGGGTAAGCTGAGTTTGGCCAGTATCCACCCCGTATTGGTCGATGACGGGTGCATCGTACTTCAATGCAAGGAGCTCATTCTCGTTGTAGGAGAGGAGGTGCATGAAGTGCAAGCATCCATCGCGACGAAGAGCACGCATGAGTGGGCTGTCTAGGGGCTCTCGAAAGAGGGTTGTGACAGCAAACTCAAGGCTTGCAAGGGTACGACCAGGTGGCGCGGTAGCATTGGCGGGCGTACCGGCAGTATTGCCAACAGTTGAAGTAGCAGGGCTGACAGGTTGGTTGGCAGCACCGGCAGGAGGAGCGGGTGTAGAGTTCATACCGCTCCAAGTAGTTGGCATTTCTGGTTTGTTGTTGTGGGGTGGAAAAGTAGGGGGAGAGTCCTCTCACAAGAGCGAAGACTGTAGGGACGATGCCTGTCCCAAAACTTCTTAGGTGCAAAGGTTGGTCAAGTAAATCCCTAACGAAAAGGGCTCGAGGAATTGACGTTCCGTACCAGTGGATACCCTACGGTCACACTAGTCCCAAGGATTGCCGGCAGGCTTTCCTGGTTTTCTTGAACGTCTTGCAGGTCAGAACAGAAGCGAAGGTCCCAACAAATTGGAACAAGGAGTGGTCTCTTTGCTATAGACTTTTAAACTCCCTTGACCTTCTTAAATCCGTTTACCGCCGTATTCAACAATCAGCAAAATGACCAACCGAAGTTGGTCAATTGCAGATGTGAATACGGAGACTTGTCTTCTGAGTCTGTAAGAGACTGGCTGCAGAAGACTACAAGAGGCTGGAAAAACCCCTCGACCTTTACGGGTATAGGCGTCCCGGTGCTCCAACAATCAACAAGTGCCCGGTCGAAAACTGGCTGGTTGTCAAGTGGAAAAAGGAAAAACAGCACGCCAAAAGTCGTTGTGCACGCAACGACGATCAACTCCGGGGGTGCTGGGAAGGACTGCGGGAAGTTGTACTCACGAATGTACAAAATCCAGAACAAGTTTCAGTCGATTTAAAATAAAACCGATCTGTGTGCCGCTGTCTGTTATTAGGGACGAGAACCACCTCGTTTAATTGCAGTACAGCCGGGCAATGAACCTCACGAGCTGTCTTTGTGGTGGATTTCTCAACACCGGAAGCAAAAGACGACAAGTGGGGGAAGCACGGGTTCGGCGGATGCCCAGCGCTTAACTCCCTTCGGCTTCCAATAGGGCTGGAACACCGAAATATAGAACCACCGAAATAAAATAGGAACCAATACCCTTTTGTGCCGTTGGGTCTTCGCGTAGTCGTCAACAGTGATGGTTATGGTGATCCAAATAAAGGCATCAAAGTTGACTTGGTACTTGCGCACCAAAGATTTGCCAGTGTTGGTCTGCAATTTGTGGAGGAAGATGGTGTACATGAAGGCCTGCTGTTTCTGGAAGAGGTCCCGTTCGTCCACGGATTTGGGCACATAGGAGTGGTCCAAGACATTCAGTGTGTCATGGACGCGTGCGGTGGAACAAAAGGTTCGATGGAAGCTGTCCCACTCTTCATCAGTGTTGAGAGTTGGGTATGTGTCGGGATCGAGTTTCAAGCTCTTCTGGAACGAATCAGCGGGTGTACGATGATCAGGCTTAGATACAAGAGGTTGTGGTAAAGAAGAGTTATTAAAAACTATAAAATCACCACTACATTGATAATTTAGGAATGCTTGGACGTCAATGTGCATGCAATTGATCGGGGTGATTGGATCGCAATGGACGTTTTGACGAAGATAAGCATACCCAAGTAAGGCCCGAACAGTACCACGATGGGGCCGCTCAAGCTGGGTAAGCTGAGTTTGGCCAGTATCCACCCCGTATTGGTCGATGACGGGTGCATCGTACTTCAATGCAAGGAGCTCATTCTCGTTGTAAGAGAGGAGGTGCATGAAGTGCAAGCATCCATTGCGACGAAGAGCACGCATGAGTGGGCTGTCTAGGGGCTCTTGAAAGAGGGTTGTGACAGCAAACTCAAGGCTTGCAAGGGTACGACCAGGTGGCGCGGTAGCATTGGCGGGCGTACCGGCAGTATTGCCAACAGTTGAAGTAGCAGGGCTGACAGGTTGGTTGGCAGCACCGGCAGGAGGAGCGGGTGTAGAGTTCATACCGCTCCAAGTAGTTGGTATTTCTGGTTTGTTGTTGTGGGGTGGAAAAGTAGGGGAAGAGTCCTCTCACGAGAGCGAAGACTCTAGGGACGATGCCTGTCCCAAAACTTCTTAGGTGCAAAGGTCGGTCGAGTAAATCCCTAACAAAAAGGGCTCGAGGAATTGACGTTCTGTACTAGTGGATACCCTACGGTCACACTAGTCCCAAGGATTGCTGGCAGGCTTTCCTGGTTTTCTTGAACGTCTTGCAGGTCAGAACAGAAGCGAAGGTCCCAACGAATTGGAACAAGGCGTGGTCTCTTTTCTATAGACTTTTAAACTCCCTTGACCTTCTTAAATCCGTTTCCGCCGTATTCAACAATCAGCAAAATGACCGACCGAAGTTGGTCGATTGCAGATGTGAATACGGAGACTTGTCTTCTGAGTCTGTAAGAGACTGGCTGCAGAAGACTACAAGAGGCTGAAAAAAACCCTCGACCTTTACGGGTATAGGCGTCCCGGTGCTCCAACGATCAACAAGTGCCCGGTCGAAAACTGGCTGGTTGTCAAGTGGAAAAAGGAAAAGCAGCACGCCGAAAGTCGTTGTGCACGCAACGACGATCAACTCCGGGGGTGCTGGGAAGGACTGCGGGAAGTTGTACTCACGGATGTACAAAATCCAGAACAAGTTTCAGTCGATTTAAAATAAAACCGATCTGTGTGCCGCTGTCTGTTATTAGGGACGAGAACCATCTCGTTTAATTGCAGTACAGCCGGGCAATGAACCTCACGAGCTGTCTTTGTGGTGGATTTCTCAACACCGGAAGCAAAAGACGACAAGTGGGGGAAGCACGGGTTCGGCGGATGCCCAGCGCTTAACTCCCTTCGGCTTCCAATAGGGCTGGAACACCGAAATATAGAACCACCGAAATAAAATAGGAACCAATACCCTTTTGTGCCGTTGGGTCTTCGCGTAGTCGTCAACAGTGATGGTTATGGTGATCCAAATAAAGGCATCAAAGTTGACTTGGTACTTGCGCACCAAAGATTTGCCAGTGTTGGTCTGCAATTTGTGGAGGAAGATGGTGTACATGAAGGCCTGCTGTTTCTGGAAGAGGTCCCGTTCGTCCACGGATTTGGGCACATAGGAGTGGTCCAAGACATTCAGTGTGTCATGGACGCGTGCGGTGGAACAAAAGGTTCGATGGAAGCTGTCCCACTCTTCATCAGTGTTGAGAGTTGGGTATGTGTCGGGATCGAGTTTCAAGCTCTTCTGGAACGAATCAGCGGGTGTACGATGATCAGGCTTAGATACAAGAGGTTGTGGTAAAGAAGAGTTATTAAAAACTATAAAATCACCACTACATTGATAATTTAGGAATGCTTGGACGTCAATGTGCATGCAATTGATCGGGGTGATTGGATCGCAATGGACGTTTTGACGAAGATAAGCATACCCAAGTAAGGCCCGAACAGTACCACGATGGGGCCGCTCAAGCTGGGTAAGCTGAGTTTGGCCAGTATCCACCCCGTATTGGTCGATGACGGGTGCATCGTACTTCAATGCAAGGAGCTCATTCTCGTTGTAAGAGAGGAGGTGCATGAAGTGCAAGCATCCATTGCGACGAAGAGCACGCATGAGTGGGCTGTCTAGGGGCTCTTGAAAGAGGGTTGTGACAGCAAACTCAAGGCTTGCAAGGGTACGACCAGGTGGCGCGGTAGCATTGGCGGGCGTACCGGCAGTATTGCCAACAGTTGAAGTAGCAGGGCTGACAGGTTGGTTGGCAGCACCGGCAGGAGGAGCGGGTGTAGAGTTCATACCGCTCCAAGTAGTTGGTATTTCTGGTTTGTTGTTGTGGGGTGGAAAAGTAGGGGAAGAGTCCTCTCACGAGAGCGAAGACTCTAGGGACGATGCCTGTCCCAAAACTTCTTAGGTGCAAAGGTCGGTCGAGTAAATCCCTAACAAAAAGGGCTCGAGGAATTGACGTTCTGTACTAGTGGATACCCTACGGTCACACTAGTCCCAAGGATTGCTGGCAGGCTTTCCTGGTTTTCTTGAACGTCTTGCAGGTCAGAACAGAAGCGAAGGTCCCAACGAATTGGAACAAGGCGTGGTCTCTTTTCTATAGACTTTTAAACTCCCTTGACCTTCTTAAATCCGTTTCCGCCGTATTCAACAATCAGCAAAATGACCGACCGAAGTTGGTCGATTGCAGATGTGAATACGGAGACTTGTCTTCTGAGTCTGTAAGAGACTGGCTGCAGAAGACTACAAGAGGCTGAAAAAAACCCTCGACCTTTACGGGTATAGGCGTCCCGGTGCTCCAACGATCAACAAGTGCCCGGTCGAAAACTGGCTGGTTGTCAAGTGGAAAAAGGAAAAGCAGCACGCCGAAAGTCGTTGTGCACGCAACGACGATCAACTCCGGGGGTGCTGGGAAGGACTGCGGGAAGTTGTACTCACGGATGTACAAAATCCAGAACAAGTTTCAGTCGATTTAAAATAAAACCGATCTGTGTGCCGCTGTCTGTTATTAGGGACGAGAACCATCTCGTTTAATTGCAGTACAGCCGGGCAATGAACCTCACGAGCTGTCTTTGTGGTGGATTTCTCAACACCGGAAGCAAAAGACGACAAGTGGGGGAAGCACGGGTTCGGCGGATGCCCAGCGCTTAACTCCCTTCGGCTTCCAATAGGGCTGGAACACCGAAATATAGAACCACCGAAATATAGAACCACCGAAATAAAATAGGAACCAATACCCTTTTGTGCCGTTGGGTCTTCGCGTAGTCGTCAACAGTGATGGTTATGGTGATCCAAATAAAGTTTAGTCGACTTTGAAACGCGGCAGCTATAAAACCTTTGAGATTGATAAACCAGAGGAAAGAGGTAAACTCTGGTCGTCGACTGTAGGTGTCGGAAAGGACTGGGCCAGATCGCAAGTTTGGGTGTTGCGGTGGGCCGAAATGCCGATGAAGTGGCAAAAGCTTGTAAATGTGCTTCTGAAGGAAGCAGAGGTCATTTTTCTGTGGAAAAAACGGCGGCAGTTAGCTGATGGTGCGTAACTGCGACTGTTAATCTGACAGAATATAATTATTCTTGGGTGAACGCTCGAGATTACACTAGAAGATAAGATATCAATTCAAGGTAAACAAAACACTGCAGGTGTTGGCTATCGAAGGACGGACTGATCGGAACGCCCAAGTACGTATGCAAAGAAGGTACAGTAGCAGGACAGTGGAAAGCTACGTACCAAAGAGGTTGTGAAAGAAGTTGGTGAAGGAGCTGCAGCTCAGTTGCAGCTCATTCCTTTTGAAAAGACTGCTCTGTATTTGACAGAGTGAATTTGAAGTCTAGGAATAGATAGTTATTAAGATTACCCTAGTCCCACCTCACCCTTGGAGGAAACCAGCGCTTGCGCTGGGGGATTGGGGGCCAACAGCTAGTAACAACTGTCAGCCCAAAAACATCATTGAAACTCTTTTAGGCCCAATTGGAGTCTGCGAAATCCAAAGCGATTGAGAAGGATGAGCAATCGCGACACGATGAGTCGTTCGGGAATTGACGAACAGTTGATGCGCTTGGTGCGCAAAGTTCCAACTGTTCTCATCCGACGACACGTCATCATATCTATTTTACTATTAATTACTATAAGACCCATAAGACTGCTAACGTACAAATCGTATTGGTCCAAGTCATGAAACCCGTTCTTGATACAATTCTGTCATAGTGCTCAAGTAAGGTGTTCCTGCCACACCTTCCAGTGGTTCCTGTTGGGCCGGACAGTGCGAGGCCATTGATATGACAACCGATATATATAACTGAATCATTAATTGGTATTATGCTACTTCTAGAGTATCCAACTGCCGGTGTAATACGGCGGTAGAGGCCAGGAACTAGGTTACTTTTGGTCAACAAAGTTTGAACCACGTGGAGGCGTTCAATAGAGGAACGTTGCTTGCAAGTCGAAAGTGTCAAGGGACGATCGGCTCTCCCACGCAAGGTGGGGTGGAGAATATGTATGTGTTAGACTGGGGTACGTGTGGCTTGTGATGTACCAGTACCAGAATCACTTTGGTAAATATGTAGACAAGTAAGTCAGGGGGCTGCTGGGCGAGGAGTAGGGTGGGTCAGTTCCCACATCAATCATCGCCTGCCTGCAAGAGATCGTCTGATTTTGCAGCGGGCTTCGGAGATGACGAGGACCCATTCCTCCTTGTCCGCCAGGTGGAGTTGGAGGACGTCCACAAGGCGGGATCGACGGATGACAGGGCGAAGGTCTCGAGGTGGGTCGCGAGGACCCATGTCAAACTCTTTGTGTATGCGTTGATCGAGAGCAGTTGCACGCTGTTGGTTGACGATGTTGTCGTCAGAATGAAAGACATCATTGCGATGCTTCCACATGCCTTTACCAATAAGGATGAGCTGTTGAGATAGATTGGCAGCCCAGCGATTACCGGATCGGCGACTACCGCGAGAGCGGTAGAATTGTTGCTGGAGGTCGGCCCAGCCGTGGACAAGAAGGCCTTCAAGGAGACATTGGGGGCCAAGGCGGAGTTGGGCCTCACAGACTTGGGTGAGGGCGGAAGAAGACATTCCGTGTAGGCGGTACCACGGAGTCTCTGTTTGAGGCTGGTTGTGAGGGGTGCGGATGGTGCGAAGGAGGGCCCCGAGGAATTGGGCAATGGGTGGAGCAGTGGTGGTGGACTGGAACCATTCTTGGAGTTCTTGGAGTAGGAGCTGCCACTGGGTCTTGGCCCGATCGGAAGGGCAGCGGGGGACATGTAGGTGGTCTTCCTCCAGGCTGCACAAGGGGCATCGGTTCTCGGAGTCGAGGCCCCATCATTTACGGAACTTGCCGACGCCGCACATCCCAACGGTGTGTTTTGTGATGAAGCGCTGTACGGCGGGCTTCAGAGACTTCATCGCTCGGTGCACGATCGGCCAGTCCACCGATCGGAAGTGTTTGGGAGCGAGGCGGCCTTTGGCTGCCCAGTATTCCATCAATTACGGCAGGACAACGGCTTTGTCCACCGATTCCAAGGCCAGGCAGGAGACCTTCTTGTTGTTGATGTAGATCGCACAGGGTTCGGAGAAGAACTTGGGATTGGTGGCGATCGTGTCCTTGGTGGCGATCAGCTTGTCGGCGTAGCCCTGGGCAATGTCGTCCACCTCAGAGTTCCGTAGTTCCCACCAAGACATCTGTCGCCATGTCTTGGTTTGGTCAGCATGGCCACCCACATGCTGTTCGGCCCAGGATATGTTGGAAACTCGGAGGGCCTCGCGGATGGAGGACAAGAGATCGAAGTGTGGGGCGGTGGGGGTGGGGGACAGCGGCCAAGTCGAGAAGGCCTGGCAAAGCGCGGCAATCCCATCACATGCCACACGGACTTGTGGCTTGGCGAGGGACTGTAGGCGTAGGCGGAGTCAAGAAGCCACCAAAATACCAGCTAACAGACCAATAAGTTCACTCCGGTATGCACTCTGATCCTCTTGTTTACCAGGTGTACGGAGCTGGACAGCGGCTGTGCCCACTTGATGCTTGAAGGAGCCATCGCCAGGTCCAGCGGTCTAGCGAATCAGACCACGGTCCGAGGGGCTGCAACAATCGGCGACGGCGGCTGTAGGGGCGGAGGACAGCTTGAGAGAGGACGCGTCGCCATAGGTCCCAGTGAGAGGGGCC